AGTTCCACAGGAACTTAAGGAAGCATTTCTTCACTGTGAGGGTGACAAAGCACTGGAACAGGCTGCCCAGAGAGGTTGTGGAGTCTCCTTCTTTGGAGATCTTTAAAACCCGCTTGGATGCAGCCCTGTGCCCCATGCTCTAGGTGACCCTGCGTGAGCAGGGGGGTTGGACTCGATGACCTCTGAGGTCCCTTCCAACCTTTGGCATTCTATGATTCTATGAACACAGAAACCCTGCGGCTGCGTAGGAAGCAATATTGAGGCTGCTGTGAATTTTGACAGATGGAAGCCCAGGTAAGAATGCACAATAATATTTTCAAAGGATCCCAAAGAGAAGACATCCCAGGAAGCCAGTTCTCCACTCCTATGCCCACACGGCTCCCTCTTTCTTTATAAAGAGGCCGACTAGAGCAGGACAAGGAGAAAGAGCTAATGGCAGCCAAATGGATTACTGGAGGATAAAATGCGCTCTATGTTAGGGAAAACAATGGTATCAGAAGTAAATTAACTTAGAATGTGTGAGGAATATAAAATCTCTTGTTGTTGTGAAAATCTATAACCACAAAATTACAGGAATAAAAAAAGAACAGTAAAATTAGGAAATTCTTCATATGAAAATGGCTGTTGGGAAAGCACAGACGGGGACATTTGAAAGCTGTAAATGTGCAAGCACGGGATATCACTTGAATATAATTTTGGTAGCTGCAGGGATGGATTAGACTATCTTTTTCAGGAAAAAAAAAAAGAAAAAGAAAAGAAAAAGAAAAGAAAAAGCTCTAAAAGCTGCAAACATCCCAGCAGAAGCCAAGGTGCCACCGGAGAAGCCCGTGCCCAGGCGGGCGGCCGGAGCTGCTGTCGCGGGGAGATCCTCACGGCTGCAGCCTCCCYGCCACCAAGGCGGGATCGAGCGCAGCAGCAGCCCGGGCTTGGGCGCTTCCACCTCCGCCTCGCTGGCCCGGCCATTCCCCTGAATCCGCCCCGGAGGCCGGGCCAGCTCAGGCGAGAGCGGCGCGGGGAACGGGAAGGAGAAGGAGAGGAACGGGGCGCGGGGCGGAGGCGGGGGGCGGCGGAGCCGTTGGCGGCCGTTGGCCGTTGGCCGCGGCGCGCGCCGCCCCCGCGCGGCCGTTGCCCGCTGGCGGTTGGGCGCGGGGCGCGCCACCATTTTCTCCGCGCCGCCCCCCGCGCCGCCGCCGCTGCCGGCCATGGTGAGTAGCGGCCGTGGCGGCGGGAAGGGCGCGCGGGGGCGCTTTGTGCGCGGGCCGCGGCAGGGGCTGCTCTTAATGTCGTTGTTATTATTATTATTATTATTATCATCATCATCATCATCCCCCTTCTCGTCCCCGTCAGGGCAGCCTGGGGCTGCGGGCGTTCCCCACAGTCCCGAGTGGGAGAGCAGTAACCCCGGGGGGGACCCGCAGGAAACACCCTGTTGCCCCCAGCGAGCGCCGGGAATGTATCCTGGGAGTCCCTGCGCGAGGAGAGGGATAAAGGGGCTGCTGCTGAGTTACCGCTTGGGGTGCTGCCCTTATGCCRGGTGGGCTGGCAGGGCCCCGCCAGYGACATGGTGTTTTTGTCACTGCCAGGGCACTTAACTCTTCACTGCCTGTTTTTTTTCAGGCCTTTCCATCTCGGTAACAGCCGGGCGCGTTGTGTCCGCACGGGGCTTTGGAAGACGTTGGCCGTGGAGCGAGTGATGCAGATCGTGGCCGCTCTCCCCAGCCTGGTGCCTGCGCCAACACCTAGAGCGCCCGGCGGCACCCAGTGAAACCCACTTGGCTTGCGGGTGCCGAGGGCAGAATCAGGACGTTGCTGCTGCCAAAAGGAGGAGCTGCCGCCTGCCTCCTGCCCTTGTCTTGCGGAGCCCTTTTGAAGCTGAATCAACGCGCCGGTTGGAAAGGTACTAGCGAAGTCTCTCACTCCTAGCAGGTCCTGAGCAAGGAGCAGGGCCTTTGCAGAGCAAGGGAGAGCGTTGCTCCCGAGGAGCCTCCCTGTTTGTAGAAATGCTGTCAGGCTTTATTTAGAATGCTTCCTTGTCATTGCAGGAGACTTGTTATTCAGCGCGAGACGTCTTTTTTGTTTGGTTTGAGGAAATTCATATGCTGTGATCAGTTTGGTGAAGTTTTGATTTGCCTTCTGCCTGCTGCTAGCTGATAAACCCAGCTTCTGTGTTGAGAAACATCCTCTATGAATTTGTCTCTCATGCAGCATTTGGAGTGTGGAATTAAGCTATGGAGCGCCTTTTTTTTTTTTTTTTTTTTTTNTTTTTTTGCATTTATGGATGGAGTTGCATCTTCTGAATGATGAAACTAAAAATTGCCCCTTTGGGGTTTGCAGCCCCAGGGGTTCATGTGGCTCAGGGGAAGGAAGACAGCACAGCCACTGTGTCCCTCTGTCAGGGCGACAGGTCCTAGGGCCACCCGTGCCCACGTCAGATGCTGCRCAGAGAACTGCTCAGAGGTGTTGGAGTCTGAGCTATAGTCACTCCTGAGCTTGTCARGTTGCTAATAAAAGGGCTGTTCTAATCCACAGAAACTGTATTCTTTGAAGTTAGTGTTTTAAGGAAGAGAAGGAAGATGGAAGCTGAAAAATAACCTTGAATTGCCAAGCTGATTCAGCTGTTCCAACAAGTCGTGGTTTTAGCATTCTTGGTTTAGTGTTCCCGGCTTTGTTGCAAGAGGAAAAGCAAATATGCTCGTAGACTTCCCCATTTATTTATTTTTTAACCTTTAGCTTTTAATGAGGTCATATAATGTTCTTTGAATTCAGAATTCAGTTGCGTTTACCAAGCATAATTATTTAATTGGATAAATGGGGTTGGAATACACCAGGAAAATTTCGTTTGGATGATGAAACTTTTTCATGTGTGTTTTTGTGCTTTTAAGAGCATGAAAGTTTTCACTGTTGGCCTACATTTTCAATTAAACCTGTAGTAAGCATTTTCTGGAGTGCTTTGCAGTACTCAGATATGCCAAGCCTGTTTTCCTGCKCCCTAATTAAAAAGAAAAATCCTCCCTGGTCGAGGAGGTAGAGCAGAACAAATAGTTTCTGTACTGGGAATTTCCAAATACAGAAAGATGGAGAACTAAACCCTCGTCCTGTGGTTGAGCAGTAAAGTTGGCAACTTTTTCAAGTTCTGCTTACCCCAAACAAACACATATTTCCCTATTTCTTGTCCCTGATGAAGAGGGGGCTGGAACCTTATTAGTAGTATTGAAGCTGCTTAGAAGAGCTCATTTCTCTACTTCATTTTTACAGAGCTTTTTAGACTTTTTTGGGGGGGTGATATGTCATTTATGTGTGTGTGTGTGTGTGTATATATATAAAGTATTTTCTTTTTGTGTTGAACTGCTCAACATTAATTAGTTGACTGTTTACTAATACTGTGGGAGTAAGAGGAAAAAGGGTTTAAGCAAATAGTCACTCACCTTTGTCTGGCAAATGGAAAAATAAAAGTCACTTCACATCTTTTGCGAAGATATGAAGGTTCTGACACTTGGCTTTTTCAGCCACCTTTTGACATGTCTTTCTTAAAGAGCAGTGCTTGGTGTTTAAAGCAGTAGGTGCTGAAGAGCTGAGCAAGTAGAGCATGATCAAAGCCTAGCAGGGTACCTCAGCTTGGCACGCTCAGTGAAAATCCAGTCGCTGCATCTTGTGTAAGGGCAGAAGGATTTAAGGCTTGAATTGTATTTTCATTTGATGCTGCAAGTCCATGCTGGACTTGGTCAGCCTTTTCCAGCAGCACTTCGGAGAGTCAGAAAATGGTTGTGCTCGGACACGGAGCTGTCCTGGTGCCTGCCATTAGGTGGCCACAAGGGATGTCACCCCTTCATGAGGTTCCCAAGTCGAGYTGGGCTGTGGTTGCGTGACTCCAGCTGAGGCTTCATCTTAAGGATGTTGGAGGAAGAAGGTAGATGCCATTTTAAAAGTTGTGCTCTTCTCTTTATTCCCTTTTCTAGGATATRATGGAGCTCCTGGAGGAAGATCTCACCTGTCCCATTTGCTGCAGCCTGTTTGATGATCCTCGGGTCCTGCCCTGCTCACACAATTTCTGCAGGAAGTGTCTGGAAGGAATACTCGAGGGAAATGTGCGGAACGTCCTTTGGAGACCATCCCCTTTCAAGTGCCCCACGTGCAGGAAGGAAACTCCTGTTACTGGAGTCAACAGCTTGCAAGTCAATTATTCCCTGAAGGGTATCGTGGAGAAATACAACAAAATCAAAGTGACTCCCAAGATGCCAGTGTGCAAAGTGCACAGCGGGCAGCCCCTTAACATCTTCTGCCGGACAGACATGCAGCTCATCTGCGGGGTGTGCGCCACCCGCGGGGACCACACGAAGCACGTGTTCTGCTCCATCGAGGAGGCCTATTCCCAGGAGAAGCGCGCGTTCGAAACCCTCTTCCAGGGCTTCGAGACGTGGCGCTGCGGAGACGCGCTCTCCCGCCTCGACACCTTGGAAACCAGCAAGAGGAAAGCTCTGCAGATGCTCACCAAGGACTCGGACAAGGTGAAGGAGTTCTTYGAGAAGCTGCAGCACACACTGGAGCAGAAACGAAACGAGATCCTCTCCGACTTTGAGACCATGAAGCTGGCAGTGATGCAGGCCTACGACCCGGAGATCAATAAGCTCAACACGATCCTGCAAGAGCAGCGCATGGCTTTTAACATTGCCGAGGCCTTCAAGGATGTTTCKGAACCCATTATATTTCTGCAGCAGATGCAGGAATTCAGGGAAAAAATCAAGGTGCTCAAAGAAACTCCTTTACCGTGTTCCAACGTAGACATCAGCCCTACAATGAAGAACTTTGACACCAGCCAGTGGAATGGAATAAAGCTAGTTGATGTGGACAAGCTTTCCTTGCCTCAGGAGAACAACTCTGTTAAACTCAAGATTCCCTCCGTCTTTTCGTCCAGGTTTATAGTGACCTCTCTTATTTTCTTGCTTATCCTTGCTGTCACCAGAACGTCCTTTGTGGAGTCTATTGTTGACAATCTCCAGGACTGGAAATCTCAGTTCTTTACAATTAGCTTGTCCTATTTGGCAGATACAGTGGAAATAGCAGATCATGCAGTCTTTTACTGGGAACAGATGGCAGATGGAGCTTCACTTTTAAGAGAAAAGTGTAAAAGCTATACGTTAGTGGTACTGGATAACGTTGCAGAGTTTGTGTGCAAATATAAATTGTTGTGAAGTCCCTTCTGAAATGTAAGAAGTAACAGAGATCTGGTGAAGAAAATGTAAAACTGTAAAATTAGTGTTTTTTTTTTTTTAAAAAAAGATTTCCAATGAAAACATTTTAAAGATTTAAAATGTTTCCAAAATATTCCTACTGTTTACATAGTTTTAAACATTGATTAAATCAAAAGGTGAAATGGAGCTTTGAAAAACATATAATTTCTGAATTTTTATTGCAGTGGTGATTATGGAAACATTATTAATTGAAAATAATTTTACTTACAAAAATATAGGGCAAAACTGTGTACTTAGTCTAATGTTAACGTAAGTGTGGAATAAGATACTGTATATCCTTTGATAATAAGTGTTACTTTTTAAAAARCATATGCATAAATATTTTTTCCTAACAGGGAGGTGGTTTGGAAAGAGGAAAAGCAGTTAGCAAGTGAGAAGAGGGATAGTATGTGGGGGACTTGTTAAGAGTGTCCATCCATTGCAAGATGCTGAGTGTATTAATTCATGTTTTGGAACCTCTTTCTCACTAAAGCAGATATTTTTTGTTTGTTTTGTTTGGCTTTAGCCAGATATAGTTGTCTCCTGTCCTCATGCCACTGTAGGTGTTGGTTATTGTTTATATGTGCTACACACAAACATGTTTTCAGGCATTCAGCCGTCTTGAATCGGTTGTAGGGTTGAAGAGAAATCAGGAAAGACTGGTAAGAGAAGAGCAATAAGAGAAGAACATGCCTTGCAGTTTACTTTTCCAACATGAAAATATTAGGATATCTGAGCTGCCTTGTTAGATCCATGGATTTTTTGGAAGCCGTCTCTGACAAACAGGCCCCAGCGTGAGCGGTTTGGTGCTGTGCACACAGYGGCTCAGCCAGGCAGGGCAGCCTGTGCAGTAGCCCCAGCCACGAGGGCAGATGGGGCAGTGTCTCTCCCTCCCTCTCTGGGTCTTCAGGTTGTAATTCCCAGAGCCAAGGAAAAAAGACTGAATGTTTTCTTGGAACAGAGGACACAGTCMCGAGAACATGGATGTTGTTGGTATTTGCCAGTGCTTTAGCCTTGGAGCATCCATAGTCTCTTTTAGCGCTCCATTTGATTCCATGTACCTTATTTCAGGAATGATTTGACTTTTCCGAGATTGACATGCCTGTAGGATAATGGAATGATCTAATGTGAAATTAAGCTTCAGGTGTCTGCAGAGTATATGATACTGAAATATGTGGCTTGAATTCCAGTCAGCCTCTTTTTTTATAGTGATCCTATGAACAACAGTGTATGGAATGAAAATATCTTATGACTCCAGGAAGCGACTGTGCCACACTTTGGGGATATTCTTTGTCTCTCTGAAGGTTTAATAAGGTGTGATGATCAATTTAGTGTCTCCCAGTAGACCTGGAAGTTGTTCATTTCAAAAATAAGACACCAAATTCCAAGAATCAAAGTTTCCAAGCAACCAAACCCTGCAAACAAAACTATCGTATGTGGTATTTACATCTTTGTTGCCTGGGARTCCTAGTGCTGCTATTCACCTCACCTCAAACAAAGCCCTGAGCAGCTGCCCATTTCCTTGCAGCTGAGGAAGGACCGAGTCAGAGCCACGCAGAGCCGGGTGCCGTAGCTCCTGACGGAGTGACACGACGATGAGCAGTCGGGACGTGGTCGCTCTGAGCGTGGGAGGGCAGAGATTTGTAACCCGGGCTTCKACTTTGCAGCGGTTCCCCCAGTCCAGGTTAGCGCGGATGCTGAGCAACGAGGACCGTGAGTTTAAACAAGTGAAYGGGGAGTTTTTTGTGGACAGAGACGGAAAGCTGTTCAGTTACATCATGGACTTCTTGAGAACTCTTCAGGTCTCTCTGCCCGCTGATTTTTCCGACTACCAGAGGCTGCGGAGAGAGGCGGAATTCTATGAGCTCCACACTCTGGCTGAGCTGCTGGGCCAGGAGCACTTGCTGAAGCCGAGGCAGGAGATCTTGGAAGTGCGTTTTTTCCTCCAGGAAGCGCAGGCCTTTTTCCGGATCTTTGGTTCCTGCAGTAGCACCGTGGAGGCCCTTGCTGAGCAGATCACAGTGTTTACGGACCAGCAGTTGGGACAGAGCTGGAACAGCCCTTTCCCTTCTCAGAAGCCACTTGTTCCGCTGCCTCTGGAAAGACCTTCTCACCACGACTTGGTTTTTCAGTGCGGCACCGAGTTCTCTGCTGGGGACCAGTTTGTGGCCAGGTATTCTCCCTACTGTGACTTCCCATTATGGAAATGGCTCYGTGGCTTGTAATGCTTGATGCACAGGCTGCTTGCTATAGGACTTATTTTAAAGAAACTGTTGAACAATTAATTGTCTGAGAGAAAAGAAATACATTTCCTTCTTTCTGCCTCTTTAATATTACAGTTTTTTCCAGTGCTGAAATACCAGATTTGTTTTACTGTTTTGTCTCTTCTCAAAAATATTCCTGACTTTCTAAAATATACTGTTCTYGATGGTTTTGTTTTCCTTCAGATGTTTCTCGTCTCTTCCTTGCTCTCTCTCTTACACTTGAGAGTTTCACAACATCACTGACCTTCTAGAAGACTTGACAAACACCGAGTATGATGAAGCAAAGCAAATACAAGGCAAAACAAAACAAATAAGGGATGAGCTACTGGAGAAAGACGAGTGAAATGGCGACTAGTTTATGGTCTCTTAGGATTTCATATGGAAAAGAGGGAAAAATAAGGGCTAAACAGGGGTGAAAAACAGGAGTGGATCTAAGTGGATCTTCAAGGATGGGAAAGTTTGTAGTGTCTTTTATAGGGTGGAGGGAAAAGGGATAGAAAAACTGTATGTTTCTCTACTGCTGTGCTGTAAGTWTGTAGGTTTTCTACAGGTTTCTTTCTCAGCAGGTCTCTTTCTGTAGACTTCTTTCTCAGTAGGTTTTCTACAGACTTTAGAGCCTTTTTTTTGTTTTTAAAATTGCTGAAAATCAGAGATTTTTGTGATAGTAGCATCATATTTTAATACTATAGTTTACTGTTTTCTAAATAAACTCTTCTTGGACATCTCCATTGTATGAACACATGTTCTAGTACAAGAAAATACAGCCTAGCGTGTCTTGTGTGGCTATCAGAACATCTGGAATTTTATGGAAGTTTTACTGGAATGATTCCAGCGGGGCTATTCTCTCTGTTCCATATAGGAATTAATGCAGCAGTCCTTTGATTAATTTAAAAAACTCAGCAAAGTTTATCTTCCTTTTAACTTTCTTCAGCTAAATAGGTAGAGGGAGCACTGTAGTATTTTGTTCCTAAAGCACCCTATATTTATGTAGCCAACCTTAATTTTGTAATTTATTTTTAATTTTATTGGGCTAACAGTTGCTTTAGTAGGTTATGACAACTTAAATACTGCAAGAAGAATTCCTAGTTCTTACCTTTCTCTCTTCAGRCGTGGTAAAATTTCTCCTTTGGAGATCAATAGAAAAATGTAGCTTGATTAATGAAACCAGTCAACTTGGATTATGTTGCCTACTGAATTTCAGTTTCACTGGGCTTTGTGGGTGCCAGGGGCTCTGTGCCCTTTCTGTGCTTTTCATGAATGTTTGGTGTACTTTCCTATGAACTGTGGAACAGTTTCACCCTGTCAGCTTGTGTATTTTGTAGTAGTGTTTTTACATGACTTCTGGTCCTTGAAGTKTCTGGATAGACTCTTAAATCTGTGCTTTGTATCAAGTATAACCATTTGAGGTAATGTGAAAATGATTTTTTTCCTACTTGTTACCGTAAGACCTGCTGTACGAGGCAACTTTGCAATAAATGTTACTGTTTGTAGAGACAGCTCCTGTGTGCTGGGGCGTGAGGCTGCTGGGCTCCACCTGGTTCCGTTGCCCTGTTGTCACTGACTTGGAGTCCTGTGGTGACGTTGCAGGACGTGCCAGTCGGCTCCTCACCGTGAAGCCAAATGAGATGGAGATGGTCCCAACTGTTTCTTAAGGAGGTGAGCCCTGTTGTGGGGCTGGAGAAGTGCTTGTTCTGTAACACGTAAAYGGCCAAGCTGAAGAATTCTGCTCTTACATGAGCAAATGAGTTGTATCATCCATCTTGGAGTGAAGAATCCAGAATCCTGCTTGCCCCGGATCCGTGCAGCTGCGCTGACCTGYGCTGTCTGATGGCAAAACTCCTAGAGCAAAACCAAAAGGGCAGTATTAAATTGTATCCTAACAACCTATTTCTCTCATTTTAGGTATGTTTCCATAAAGYCCGATACTAGAAAGCTGATCAACGGCACTAACGTGCTCGGCCTGCTGGTTGACACTTTGCTGGGAGATGGATTTCGCCTCCTGAGCACCAGAACGGTGTCGAGCGGCGAGCGGGTCGAGTGCTACACGTTGGAGAGGATGAGGAGGCCGGCGGGCGTCGCGGGCGCAGCGCGGGCAGAGGGGAGCCCCCGGTGAAGCTGCTCCCTCCCCCTGACCGTGAAGGRGGATGCTGCCCGCCTTGTGTTTGGGCCGTTGGAACTGCAGTCACGGAGGGAAGCAGCAAATTTCTGAATGCAGCCGGAAACAAAAACTGCTTTCCTGCCTTTTGCTGCTCCACCCTCTTCAGTTCTAAACAAAAGAGCCACAGATTTAATATTGTGTTTGTGGGACGGACTCTGGTATTTGTGGGGGTAGTTTTTATTTTTCTCTACAGCTAAAATTTATATGAAGACTCTCGAAAAATCAACCACATAGAGCAACGACTTCCCTTCTTGAAAACCATCTTTGTGTTCTCTGCTAATCTGCAAGCAGGCTTTAAATGTGATCAGGAGAAACAGCTTTACACAACACTCTCGAACCGACTGTTTGAAGAAGCAACTGAAGAGAGAGCACAGATGTGAATGCCTGTGTTAGTGCCTCTGCTTGTGAAACAACAGGCGCCCGAGTGGCTGTTTTGCTGTTACTTGGGCTGAAGAGATCAGGAAACACCGTGGGTCGCTTTGCTGGGTGACCCGAGCCGCGAGCGAGTGGCTTTGGGGAGGCACCGCTGGCGCTCACGGTGCTGTCGGCTCTCTTGCAGGATACTCCCCTCCAAAAGCATTCGGCTACTCCTCAATATTGAGAATTCACTGATAGCAAGTATTTTGTAACACCTTTTTAATGAATGCGCTGCTAATTTTTAGAGTCTTAACTAGAAAAAGAATGAAAACGTGATAAACCCTCCTTCAGGTGGAAGACTTAGTTCAAGGCATTTATTTAATGCTTGCAAAGCAAAAAACGCATTTAGGGGGAAGCTGTGGCAGAAGTGGCTTTAAAAGCAAAAAGGAATGAATATTCACTGTGAGCAATGCTATGTGAAGACACCGAAATGGCTTGGGTAGCAGAAGAGTTAATGCATTAATGAAGTTAATAAAGCTTTATCAATTGAGAAGCTTTCTTCCTCCCTTTTGGGCAAGGAAGGAAGATRGTGAAAACCTCAAGGATTTGATCTGATTGATAAGTAGTGATTTTACAAGTTCCAGAGACATGAGTATAACTGCTTTGGACTTTCTTGGCCAACTAATAAAATCTGGTATTTAGGTAACTTTAAAGTGTGGATTTATTACTTTGTATGCAGAGCTTTGAAAGAGTTGAGGGGAGTGGGAATCTTCTGCTTCTTGCGCTTGGAATGTCCCACGATCTCTCGCAGACCAGGCCGCAGGTGCCACCCAGAGCACTGGGGCCTTTGCCTACCTGTGTAGTGCCCTTCCCCGCGACACAGGTTGAGAACTTCCCCAGCAACAAGGGGGTTCTCGTTGCTTGTTCAGRGTTTCCCAGGTTGAGAAGAGGTGATTATGGGGCTGTGTCTCCCGCGGAGCTCGGTAYGGGGCAGGAAGGGCCGTGGGCCGTTAGCGTGGAGCTTTCCGTGGCTGTGGCACGAGGACAGCGCTGCCCGCTAGGCGAGCGGCGCCTGCCGAGCTACGTTGACTGCCTGGCCAGAAAGGTTCCCATGCCTCAAAATAAACCCCAAACCAATAACCACGAGTATTCAATGAATCAGTGGCTTTGGATATTTTTAGGAAAGAAACTTGTAAATAGCAAGAAACGCAAGATGAGAGCGAAAACTTCATATTGTGAAAGAAAAGAAATTGGACTTTGAGCCTGTATTTAAACATCATGATTTAAGTGGTCACTGATAGCAGCATAAACCAACTGAGACCAGCTCCATAACCCTTTATAATAACAAATGCTGTTTTACCCACTGCAGAAGTAGTGAGTTTATTTTCATTGCGCTTTGAAAATGGAGATTTTTTTTAAGGTAGATGAAAAAATAAACCAAATATTTGCACTTAGCCCTCCTTCCCTCCCCACTGAGTTGAACCAGGGTCTTAACTCACATTTCATGGTGCAAAATGAATATTTAGTACAACTCTTGTGCTAGTGCAGCTTAGCACGCGCTGGTGACTGACAGTTGCTGGTTCCTCGAGTGGGTTCATTTTTATTCCTCAWAAATATATAATTCTAGGAATGTGATAGTTTGGTTGGGGGCAAAAACACCCCAGCAAGTTCCTGCCCTGTGGCTGCAGTTGCTAAAGTGAGTGTGAGAGCACGTRCGTCGATAACCCGGCCTGATAGCAATAGAGTGGCCATGACTTGAACGAGACGATTCCTCACGACACCGATTCCCCAGAGGAACCTTCCCGAATCCCCCTGCGCCGCCGGCGAAGGCGGCAGTACCGGAGCYGCAGCCGCTCCGGGGCAGGGACAGCACGGGGCTGATTTATTAATTTGCTTCTTCCAGTCACAGCCAACTTTCTCAAGATGATTTGTCCGGGACGTCAGCATGGCTGATGGCTCTGTTTGCCTTTCTGGTTCTTCCTTTGCCTTAGCAAAAGCATCCAACCCCTGCACTGCCTCACGTGCTGCAGACTGGTGCCCCGTGGYGGGGCAGGCCCGAGCCAGCCCTGAGGGCACCTCTGCACCTACCCTGAGCACGGGAGATTCTTCTGCTGGCCCGTGCACAACAAGTAACATACCAGAGCGGGAGGAACCCAAAAGGTAAGGCAGCGTTGGTTCCAGTTCGGAGCTCCTAAATAGCTTTCTGGCTGCTCTTTCACAGTTATTAAGTTCTCGTCACCTTCTCCAGGATGGTTCCTCTCCCACGTGAACTTTCAGGTCAGTCTGCGGATGGCCAGAGGAACAGTGACCAACGTGAGCCACCTTCCTTCTCCTTGTCCCCTTGCCCTGCAGTGGTGAATACTGGAGTACTGTTTTCTGAATGGTTATCCTTGGGAGCTCTCGTCCTTTTAGGAAATACAGGAAAATAATTTCTTTCAGGAAAGTCTTGTATGTTTAGCAATCAATGCTCGTAAGATTGTATAATTAATTAAGAAGAGATGTTTAAATAAACCTATTTTGATCGACGTAATGGTAAGAGTTAAAAGTCTGATCTTTTAGCAATTTGTGCTGGGAAGTTTTCTCTTTTACCATATAATTCCAAGACAATTTTCGTTTCCTTGAATCTCATAGAAATGGTCAAGGACTCCAGGCTGAGACGCGCTATATGAGGCATTAGCAGGTGTGGCTGAGAGGATTTCAATGAGGAATTGCATCCTGTCCCACATCTGTTTGCTTGCAAATGGGGGCAGTAACTTCTGTGTTAGCTCTGGAGCAACTTACCTATTTTTACCTAYTTTGGATAGTTTCCTATTTGGTTATTTTTGAGCATCATTGCAGTGCTCAGAAATTACCCATTTAATGTGAACTGCACAGGGCTGAGGTGCTTTCGCCTGTCTCTGCAGGGGAAAAGTCTCGGGTGCATCCAACACACAGGCCGGGTGATGCTCCGACTTGATCCATCGCGGAATYCAGGACCATAAAGCAGCTAGAGTGAATTAGAAGCTCCATCTGAGATCACAACMAAGCAAACACAACTTCGAGTAATTCAAAAAATATATATTTTTTGTTCCCAGATTGCTGGAAAGTTATTGAATATTCATGGGGAAACAAGCTGGGAACTATCCAAGAGGGGGAGAGARAGTCCTTGCCTCTTATTTTTTCCCTATGATTTGTGCTGAACTTTTGCCAGGCTTCAACTTTACAAGGTTTATTTTTATTGATTTTTTTAACAATAAACAGTGGGAGCATCTACAATAAAAGATTTACAGTGCATCACGAGGAAATACGACTCCCTCCCAAATATTATATTGATCTCTTCCCAGACGCTACTGAAGCAGCGTATTAAGGACCAAAGCAAGCCCAGCCATGGAGAACTCGGTCCCGCCAGCRACGGATGCGAATGGCTGTTGTGTCTTCGGAAAACAATAAAAGGGAAGGGAGTGACTCCGCTGCTTTGACCGTATCTTCAGCAGCCCAATTAAATCTGTCAGCTCAATGTAATCCACATAAATAAAGGACTGGGAACGAAGGAAGCAGCGAGCGCATCTGAGGAGCCTCCCTCTTTGAAGCTGCACCTCCTGCTGCAGCCGGGCCGTAATTAGTCGCAGAGCGCCTTGTTGTGACGAGCAAACGGGTGGACCAAACGGAGGGGCTGGATGGTCTGGACCGGGCTGGAGAGGCGCCTGGAGCCCTGAACGCTCTCGCACGGGTGGGTGGGATGTAAATCACCAGTCATCGCATCAAATWTAAATAAATCTGACTTCTATTAAAAAAAATAATAAAAAAAATCGTCTGTTCTCTGCATGTCTGTTTTCTAGAG